GGGGGGGGGGAGAAAGGGAAAGGTAGTAATTATGTGTTGTTTCTTTTCTAGTTTCAGATAACTTGGAGTTTAAACTTTTCCAGCAAGTCAGAGTGATATAAACAGATGCCATACTAAAATATGATTGTAGCAAAAATATAAAACTCCTAAAGCATGATGATAATATTTTAGAAAATAAAAACATTGAAGTCTGATATTACCAGAAACTACAGTTAGGATCATTTGAGCAGTTCTGTATCTCTGTATGAACAGCAGTTGCAAATGACGGATGTATATTAAAGAATAAAGCATTTGGTCTGCACATAACTTAAAAAGGGGTAACATTTCTAAACACCGACTTTTGTAAGAAAACATGAAGGACATCTTACACTCAACAACAATGGTTAAAAGGAGGAAATGACTTTCTGAAGGATGCAGTCAGCAGAATGCCAAGGCCTTTGTTTGCAAGGTGCCCTTGGCCGTGTTGGGATGTGCTCACACTGCATGGGGTCTCCTGCAGAATCTAGCACCAATATATGGATCAGATGTTTATCTTTGATCTGAGTTCTTGATGTCTTCAGTTTTGAGTGTACTGAGGTATGTTTTCTTTGGTTGCTGTTGTGATGAATGTATAATAAAAAATTAATATTTACAACATTTAAACATTTTAGATTTCAGTGTCAACTCTTCACATAAGAAAAATTGGGAAACTCTTAAGGATCATAGGAAGGTCATTACTTCCTAGCATCGGTCATGAAACTGTTTTCAATACAGAGAACAATTAGCCTACTAGCGCAGCTATACGCTTTCTGGTCCAGAATCTTCCCCGAGCTCAGTGGGGAGGCCAATCCCGTGACTGCCATGTCGGCAGTTCGCCATGCTTCACAGTACTTATCCTCAAGACGCACTCCATGGAGACTGGAGCCATGCCAAACGACCTTCTGGGGCCTAAAAAGCAATTTTGTCAGGTTATTTTTTCTTTTTCATGGCATATCTCAGTGAACAAATTGGCAGAAGCCTAGTGAATCAAATCAGGCCCCTGAGCCCCTCATGGTTTGATCCCACATCATCTCTCCATCCTCAATGCTCTTTCCAATTAGCTGAACACACTGTGTTCGAGCCACATCCAGCTTGTACTTGTTCTTAAGTGATACCCTGTGCTATGTGAATCTGAACCTTTGCTCATGAGGTCCCTGAGTCTGGAGCAGCCTCTCTTTCATTTTCAGACCAGTGATAGATACTTCCTCATCTTTCAAAGTCCATTAAATACTTCCTCTTACAGAAAGACTTCATGATTCTCACCCCCAAGAACAGTGAGTATTTTCTCTTGCTCCTATCATCTGATCTGCTTCTTCATTTTACAATTACAATGTTCTGTCTAGAATCACAGCCTGTCTACGTCTGTCTTCCCCTGTAGGCTGGGAGCCCTGTAAGGGTGGGGGCCCTGTAGATACTGTCCCTTCCAGATCTGGCATCAGGTGTGGCATAGAGTAGATGCTGAGGAAAGGTTTGCTGAGTTGTTCTATTTTTAATAGCATACACAGTTTTCAAAGGATATGAGTGCGGCTCACAGCATAGGGTTAAAAGATCACCAAGAGTAGCATTACTTACCACGTATTGTGCCTACTGTACTCTAGATGTTCTCACAATTATCATTCTATTTGCACAATTACTCTATAGATATAATTATCTTGCCCATTTGACAGCTGAGGCAGCTGAGGCTCAGAGAGCAGAAGTGCCTTTTTGAAGATCCCAATTAAGGTCCTGGACCCAGGTCTCTTGGCTCCAAAGCCAGGGCTCTCTCCATGGCCCTCAGCTGCCTCCCTGAGGCTTTATGCTGGCACTACCCCAGAGGGGCAGCTGACAAAAGCATCCCATGATTAGAATGTCTCCTAAAACTGTCTATCATACCATATACTTTGAGGCTTCCACTCCTACTTACCAAGAAGGATCTGTCATCACGTCTCGGCCATCAAAAGAATATATTGGAACATGTGTACTGAACTGACCTCCATGGCCAGAGAAAATTGAGTCCCAATTATTAAAAAGTACTTGTCCCTATGAAAACAAAAATGCCATATTAAAATCATTATACCATCAGCCTGCAAATGGACTATTTACTCATACTTTTCAAAACTTATTTCAAGATTTTTTATTGACTTTAGAGAGAGAGGAAGGGCGAGGGAGAGAGAGAAACATCCATGTGAGAGCGAAACATCGATAGGCTTCCTCCTGCACACCCCCTACAGGGATCGAGCCTACAACCCAGGCATATGCCCTGATGGAATTGAACTGGCAACCTTTCAGTGCATCGGACACCACCAAACAACTGAGCCACACGGGCCAGGGCTATTCACTCATTCTTTAAGACCAGGTGCCACCTCATACTGAAGTCACCAACCCCAATCGTAGAGGCAGAGTGGGGACTCAGGAAATGTCTGTAGTTTGATTTTATCATCCATTCCTGAACCCTTTCAGTTTTACTGGCTTATTTCTTGAGGTAATTTCCCTTATGACATGTAAACCAAGTTTCACCCTCATCAAAAGTGTGCTTTAGGTCCTTATTTTATTATTATTGTTTTAAAAATTTTATATGTATATGCTGAGCTTCAAATTTGTGCCAGTCCACATTACGGTGCTAAATCTCTTACTCCTTTCTCTGAAGGAGCCCTGTTTCCTTCAGTTATTTGTATCCCAACCATACAAATAATTTGATGGCTGAATGTGGTGGAACAGAACCTTGGCAGAGATGGAAAGTGCTGAGCGTAGGCTCAGATGGATCGTGCCAGCCCCAAGGTCCCAAATTGGAGTACTGGGGTCCCAGGGGCCAGAGGGCCTCCAAATACCTTTGAGATCTAGTGGGAGGTCAGTACCCAGGATGTGTGTGAGCAGTAACAGAGCTGTACTTCTGTAGCTTTAAAGGAGTCAGCTACTTCCATGGTATACTTATACCATTGAGGGATCCTATGAGGCTCTGCCTTGCTCCAAAATGGGGGCAGAGAAATATCTTCCAGGCTTTGGCAGCTTAGATGTGCTGAGGACACCAAACCAGGGTGCAGCCCTGGGCCCACTGCTCACCAGCTGTTCTCTGATGCCACTCAGCCGATGCCCTACAGAAGGCATCCCAGGTGGAACCAAGAGCCCCAGATATGGGGGTCAAGGAAACTAATTTTACATTGTAGTCACTTTGAGCAAACTTCTTTCTCCTTCTGAGCCTCAGTTTCCTCATCTGACAAAAGAATAACTCCCTGTTTTTATTGGAAGTATCTGTTAAGATAATGAATGTAGAGTGCTTTGTAAACATTAGAAAAGCTAAGTGAAAGAGGTTATTTATTATTCCTTCCTCCTGTCTGCTCCATGAGTCATACCATCCAAGCAGGAGGGGCTGCTGTAAATATTAGAAAACTAAGTTCCTGAGAAACAAAGTGACCCACCCAAAGTCACACAGCCAATCAGGGACAGTCTGGGCCTAGAACCAGCAAACTTCAGATGATGTAAGAAAGTGGCAACTGTCTCTAGTCCCTGTGGAGACCAGTGTATCCAGGAAGCAACGGGGACAACATTTATTTTTACCTTGAGGTTCACTATTGGAAGACTGTATCTCTCTGCTTTCCTCACAACTGTGGAGAGATCTTGGAGATGGGAGGACAAGAATGCTCGGTAGGTGGACAACAGTCCTGCAGCCCTGGCCTGCTGGAAGCACTGAAAATCAGCTCGAATGTCCCCAGAAAATGGCATGTTCAGAGCAACCAAGTGCAGCTGAAAAAAAGTGAGAGAAGAGAGTACAGTTAAAGAATTAAAGGCAAAGACCAAGTCCCATAAGCTTTCACATTCCTAATGAGATCCCAGACTTCTTAGGATGGAAGGCACACCCAAGAGCACCTTATTCAATCTCTCCCTGTGGATGGAATTCCCACCCTGGCTTGACCATCTCCAGTGAAGGAGAGCTCAGGTCTCCCAAAGCAGCCTGTGTCAGCTCTCTGAACAGCTCTAAGTGGTGGGAAATTCTCCCATATCTGAGAAAAACAATACAAAATAAACCACTTCAGAGATCTGAATCAGGCCCCCACCATTTGTTGGAGACTCCTGGGTGCAGTTCAGTTTCCAGGAGAGTTTTAAGCCATCTTTGGTCCTGGAGCCCAGAACTACACCAAGCTACCTGCCTCCTGCCTTTTCTTCTACCTCCTGAGTAGGCCTGGGGCTGATTCTGAGGGGCCAGAGGGAAAAGGCATTGAAAGGAGAAAGTCATGATAGTTATTACTAAGACTGCTGGGAGAGACCCTTTTGGAAACATGGGGTCATACCATAATTCTAGCCTCACGTCCCTGCCACCTTGGTCAGCAGCCCAAATAAAAACCATTCCATGGTCTGTTTCCTCCCACACTCTTGCTCCCCAAACCCAGCCTTCTCTCCCAGCCCTTTCTGCTGTATCAAGTGTCGCCATATCTGTGTTCTGCTTATCAAGTGTGCAACCAGTTGCCCACAGCTGGCCATGAACTACACAATGTCTAGACTGTCCCATGCATCCTTGCACTTCTTTGGCATTTCTCTCCATTTCACCACCCCTGTTCTTCTCCATTTCAAAAAGGACAGACTCTAAGTCTACTACTTCCCTAATTTCTTTCTGTTATCTACCCTGGTTCTGCCTTTATGACCATACTAGGAAGAAGTCCAGCACCACCACCTTAGCCCCACTCCCCACTGACATGAGGCTTTCCCTGCAGCCCTCAGGTAGCAGCATTTTATGCACCTACATTCCCAGTCCTTAGGAGGAGGAGAGGGCTTCAGCACGATGCTCGCTCACCATGACCACTTCCAGGCCACCAGACTTCCAGCCCCATAAACCCTGGTCCTCTGAGCCCTTGCCAGCTGGCTATACTGTCCCTATCCGTCTTCCTCCCTCTCATGTATCTGCAGACTATGGCTCCCAAAGGGAAAGACCCTATGGCCTCATCACTCTCCACCAGTGTCCTTCTGGTGCCTACACCAAAGGGAAGTCACAAGAAGCCTTGATGGCATTTGGCTTCCCTGATACTAGGGGACATGTAGGAAAGGCGCAATGGTTCAGGGCTTCCCTGCCATGCCTCTCATCTCTACATCTCTTTCGTTAAGGAGATACACAGACAAATGTCTGGAATGGTGGCTGTTTCTGAACGGGGGGGTCAGGGGCTTTTGTGCACTCATGTTTGTATTTCTCTAAATGCTAGGACACTTTTAAAATGAATATGTATCATTTTTATGAAGACGACAATGTTAAAATAAAATGTTAAAATGGTGATTCTATGAATGGCTATAGTTTTGGTAAAATTACAGGTGATTCACTGGTTTCTTCTTCAGCCTTGTATTGATTGTCCAAACTTCCTACAATGAATAGGTATTACTTTAGAATTTATAAAATATTATTTTTAAATTCCTGTAGTTACTGCCTTAACTTTTCTCCCCTTCACAGCTAACCTTTTTGAAGGGTTACCTATAATCGCTTCTCTCTTTCCTCACCTCACCTCCTCAACCAACTAGAATCTTGTTGGCATCTCTTCATGCTACAGGAATGCTTTTCTCTAGTTTCTAAATTTGAAGGACACCTTTTAGTTCTATTGATGGACCCTTTGGCAGCATTTGACACTGCTGGCCTCTACCTCACTGGGCATTCTTCCTCTCTGACTACGGCATCTCAGTTTCCTTCCCCTTCTTACATTTCTTCATCAGTTCCTTTCTTTGCGGGGAGAGGAGGAGCTCCTCATGGTCCAATCTCTTCTCACTGTACATATTCTCTTTCAGGAATCCTACCACCCTGTCATCACTTTCATGGCTCAGCTGAAAACTCTAAGTCTATACCTCTAGACCAGACCCACCGCAGGATTTCAGATCTTCATAGCCTATTCCCTCCTGGAAGTCTCCACTCAGATACTCTACAGGTGCCTCAGACTTACTAGGCCCCTCATGAGCCCCTGCATGGTGGATGAAAGCACTACAGGAAACATGCTTCTGGTATCTGCCAAGCCCATGCCTTGTTCTTTGCTAAAATGTTTCCACAACCCTTGTTAAAAAGAGTGGTCTTAGGCCATGAAATCTTGGCCAGTATTGATTTGTCTAGGAGTGGGTGACTGACCCAAGATGACCCATATAGAACATCTCTTTCAAGATTTGAGAACTGAGTCAGGTAGTATTGGGCTCTGCAGCTGAAGATCACATTGATCTGCAGCCAGGATCAGTGCCATGGCAACCCAAAGTTGTGTGTAAGCTTTGTAGATATAACCTATGACTGTGTGTTGGGGTGGGGGTGGAGGGGAGGCAGGAAGAAAGACCTTTGCAGAAGCTGGCCTGTAGAGATAGTGGAGCAAACTAATAGCAGGGACAAGAGTTGTACTTCCTACAAATGACCCTGGAAAGGAAACTATCACCACTCAGTTACTCAGGCAGAAACCTGGACATCATTCTTGAACTCCCTCATCCACACCTCCCCATATCCAGTATATAGCCAGATTTGTCCCTCCTGTCTCCTTAATTTCTCTCCAATCTGCCCACTTATCTACTTGTTCACTGCTGTGACCATTGTCCACATAGTATAGTAGCTACCTACCTGGTCTTTGAGCCCCTGGTCTTGTCCCCTCCAATCCATTTGTATACTGTACCCAAGATAATTTCTGAAATGCCAACCCTATAATACCCTTTTCTTGCTTAAGACCCTCCATGGCTCCCATTGCCCACTGGAGAGGGTCAAAGTCCTTAGCTTGGTTTACAGGCCCTTGAGGACTAGTCTGTGCCATTCACAGACTCAACATCTATCTCTCTTCTGCCCTCTACTCCTTCAGCAAGATTGAAATACTCAGAATTACAGAAATGCCTTGCCTCCCTCTGTTCCATATGCCCTCTGCCTGGAATTCCTACTCTCTTCTGCCCACCTGGATCTCTCTTGCTCTCAACTGCCTTATAGATCTTAGTTTTGAGGTCACCTCCTCTAAAGAATGCAGACTTCTCTGATCTTCCTCGTACCTGCCAGCTTCCTGTGTTTGCCTCACCGGAAAGACTTACATAGTGTATTGTAATTACCTATTTGTTTGTTTGCCTCTCTTGCTAGTCTATATGCATCTTGAGAGTGGGAATTGTGCCCAGCATGGAACCTAGCACATAGTAGACACGCATTCAGCATTTGCAGAGTAAATGCATGAATTGTACTTACTGCAGGCCTCCCATAATTGACATTTGAAACAGACATCAGTGGAGGCTGAAGCGGATGTGGCTATTATGTAAAAAAAGAAAACAAACAGTTCTGACTATTTTCATTTCATTCAATCTGTTCTTCAGAGCATACTGAGGTACAAATGCAGCGTTTCTGGAAAAGATACTTTAAATAGTTTGTCATGGTCTTTGGGCCACTCTTAACTGGGAAGGGTTACATGCTCAAGTGAAAAAATAATCCTTAGAAGGGAGGGAATATTCTCAGACCTTTTAGAAAGAACACTGAGTCAGCGAAGCAGAAGACCCATGTTTTACAGCCAATTCACCCCCTTAATAGAGCAAGTCACCTCTTCAGAGCCTGTTTCCTCATCTGCAAAATGGGATGATAGTACCTGCCTCAAAGGTTGCTGTAGGGTTAAGAAATGGACAATGTCAGTTGCCGATGAGTGTCAAATATTAAAGGGTTCTTTTAGATCCCTTACACCAACCATGATGCCACAGATGAATAAACTGAGGCCAAGAGAGGGAAAGCCCGTTGCCCAGGAGGAGTCAGCTACGACATGGGAACAGCTCTCCAGCCTCGGGGTCCAGATGAACTCCACTACATAGTGAGAACATTCTGTCGGCAACTGGTCACTCCAGGCAGGCCTTCTGCCAGATACCGAACCATGCAAAGCTGGCTGTCCAGAGTTTGGAGAGCTTGCTGTCGGGTACCCAGGGGCACTCAGTCACTGCTGATGCAAGAAAAAGTAAGATGCAAGACAGGAAAGCTACTCACATTGCTGCTGGAAAGCGCAGGGGGTGGAGGACTGTCGGCAGGAATGGGGATCAGTTCTCCCAGCTTTAAGAAAAAAGAGCACATTGAAAATGAAACAACTAGAAAATGTCCACCTATTTTCAAAACAGAAAAATTGCATTTACAGGAGTAGATGTTACTTCTCAAGGGTAACTGGAGGCAGTTTGTACAAGAAAGTTGAAGGATTACCTGTAATTTTTTCCAGCCATCTCTGACACGAATGAAAAACTCAGTGCTGTCCCGCAAGTAGATGAACGTCCCTTCTATCACCAAATGCGCATTCTGCAGCATGTCGTCCATGCTTCTCAGGGCTGTCACCTGTCAGTCATTTAAAATTCAAACACTGCAGTTATGACAGCAGTGGCACACTCAAGAAACTGGCTTCCTTGTAAAGTCCAATATAAGCCCGCCCCCTTAGTCCATGAAAAGGCTTAATGTGCCATAGAGCGATATATAACTTCATCAGTAACCAAAGGACAATCTTTTTGATAAAACAAAAGCATGAATTACTTTGGAACACAACTCTAAGTTATAATAGAGATGTTAAAACAGGAAGACAATATTCTGTGAGTATAAAGATGTTTAAAAACTGTAGACAGAGTGGTCTTTGTTGGGTGCTGCTATCAGCAGAGTGATGGGCAAGTTCTGCCACTTCCATTTCTGGGAGCTGCTCAGTGGCACTGACATGGGTAAATGTGCTATCTCATGCTGCTCCTTGAAGAGCTTCAAATGTGTTTTCATTTGGAATAAGAAATAAAGCAAGCGAACAATTCTCCCTCGGCCCTGAATCTTTCTTGCCTCGCTGGGTAGTTACAACATTAAATGTGCGGTAGGAAATGAGGCTCTGTCATTCCTCTGTCTAGGAAGCTGCCAAAGGTTAGGCAGTCATCTTGGCATATCCAGGAGCAGACAGAAAAGCTGCAAAAGTCCATCGAAGAGCACCAAGTCTCAAAGAAATATCAGCCAAGAGAGCTTTTATGTTTTGTTTCAACTGAGAAAGATTATAAAACGTTAATTTTCACCTAGCCTTGAAGACAATGACTGGGCATCCAAATGGCTCAGAAATGCCCCCAGGCCACCAAATATCAAAATTCCATTATCCACTGGACGGTTCTTTTGTTTGGCAGGCTCATTTTCCCACTACAAGCTGCGGAGACCACAGAGTGTTCCTAGGTCTCCTGACATCCCCGTGAGGTATTTGTCCCTCTGCTGATGTGTCACAATAAACTCTGAGCTCTCTACCTGCTCCAGTGACCTGCAGGGTAATGAGCGTACAGGAGATAGCCTTTCGCAGAACATCCTTTGGCTGAATTACCAGCAAGGGGCCTGTTGTGAAACTGTTTACACTCGTGCTTCTGATCTTTGATGTCATATGATTGGTTCTAGTTACAGTTTAGTGAATTAAGGATTAAAGGATACAACTGAAATCCTAAATGATTTTGTATTCTGTATCTTTTTCCTTAAGAAATCATCCAAAGAGATAATAAATACCCTCTGTTTGTGGGACTGCACCAATGCGATTGTCATGGAGGCCTAATTCCAGCAGAAAGGTGTCCCAGCCCCTAAACACTGTAGCCGAAGTGCTAAGTAAACCCTTCTAAAGCAGAAGATGAATACACACTGGCCACTATACTGACCAGGTTTCTGGATCCGGGGAGCCCTGGCTGTCCTGGAGGGCCGGGCGGGCCTGGTAGGGCCACAGCTACGACAAAGCAGAAAAAAGAAGTTAGAAAAAGTCACACTCTCTAGACAACGACTTGGGTGTCCACTGGTCACTGAGGGGAGCATGTGCAACCCCACTAGCAGTGCTGCAAAACGTGGATGCTTGGGTCTGAATCTTGGGCACTCTGGATCCAACATAAGACTCAGCCATGTGGACTGGTTCAGGGAAGAGCTGGGCTTCTTGATTACAGCACTGGATGAAGCCCTGCCCAGGACTTTTCTGTTTTATAAGTGAATATATTCCCCTTGTTGCTGTTGTTTGTATAAGTCAGTGTAAGTTGAGTTTTCTGTCCCTCACATCCAAAAACATCCTGACTCCTACAACTTAGTCCATCCAGGAGACAAGCAGATAACTACTGAACAGAGGAAGCAGGCTCAGAAAGAGGAAGGAAGGTGCCAGGCTGCAGAAGGAGGGCAAAGCAGTGAAATGACAGGAGCCCTATCCTTGGGGCCAGGAGACATGGCCTCAGGTCCCCGATTTGTCACTTCTCAGCTGTGTGACCTCAGGGAATCAGCAAGCTCTCTGAACCCTAGTTTCCTCATCTGTGAAATGTAAACAGGCATTTCTTCTTCACGGCTGTGGTGAGAACTGAGAAAAATACAAAATAGGCATGTGCTTTGCAAACTGTACAGCATTCAGCCAGAGGTTCTTAGCTTTTGAAGAGTCACAGTGCCCTAATACTCAGATCAAGGCTACTGCCCTCTTTCCTAGAAAATGCATTAGCACGCACACAATTCTACATAAAATGTTAGTGGGGTGGTAGCTCCCCAGGGCAATCTTTGAATTCTCAAGGAGTTTATAGCTCCCCAACAAAAAGCTCTGACTTTAGGCAAGCATAAAGAAATATTATTACAGCTATTCTTTCCCTCTCCTTCTACCTCTCTAATCCCCTGTACCTCCCAAATCTGCAAGGCTCTTGCAGAGTTAAGAATGTTTTTACAAGTCCTGGTAAAATTGCTGCATCAGATTTTTCAGGTCATTGCAAGTAAGTCTGCATTTTTGACATAGGACTTGACAATCCACACATAGGTGGTGAATGTCCAATGGGGAGCAGGTCAGAGGACTCAAATTTGGAACCCAGCCATGCCTCTTATTAGTATTTGTGACCTTGAACAAGTCTCACCTTCTCTGAGCTTCAGTGTGTTCATGCATGAAATGAGTTTTACAGTAGTTTCTGTTTCATTTCCCTCCCAAGGTTGCTGTGAAGATTAAATGGGATAACAAATATGAGAGTGTTTTGTAAGTTGTGAACTGCCGTACACTATGTGAGGGTAATCCTCGTTCTATTGAGCAAAGAGTCTTGGGGACCCCTAGTGGAGGGCTACTATGGACAGCAGCTTCTCTGCACCCTGTGCTCTCCCTGTAATGCCCGCCCCCCCTGTATTTCCTGTTCAACCCTCAAGGTTGAGTGCACACCTATGGTTTTATCCACCCAGCACCTTCTTTCTTTGTAGACCAGTATCTTCACCTTCTCTTGGGATTTATCCCTTCACCTCTACAACTATTTGGTTCTCACCTCCTGGCAATAGGTGACTGGTTCAAGGCTGGGTACCTGGCCCAAGTCAGGCCAATCAAAGTCCTTTCCCAAGACTTGCCCCATCCCAAGACTTTTCAGACTAAAACTGAGAAGAAAGGCCAAGATTTCAAGCTGACAACAGAAGCTGTAAGTTGTCAGTAACCTTCTTTCAGACCACGCAGAGGATGTGGTCTGTGGTGAAGAGACATGAAGCTAGTGTACAGAGAGAAGCTGAGACAAGAGTCGGCCAGAGATCCTTCACAGGGGCTGAATCTCTGGTTCTGGCTATAACTGAGGTCCTGCTGCATGTCTGCTCCTTTCATAAACTGATTGCTCACCCCTTCCTTCATGTCCAATACGTTTCCCTTTGCTTGATCTAGTCTGAGTAACATTTCTGTCACCTTGCAGCCAAAAAATCCAAGACTGAGTCAAAGCCCCAGGCCCAAAGGGGCTGTGTAAAGTTCTCCAGGCATTGCAGATATCTTTCCAGGTGTGCTTCCACCACACCTGGCTCATGCCACCCCAAGCAACAAAAAAGGATGTCATCGTGCTATTATTGCTGCTAGTGTTATTTTCCACCATGGGCACAGTGGGAAGAACGCAAGCTTCAGAGCTACACTGACCTGGGTCCTAAACCTGTTGGTGTCACTTATTAGCTGTGTGATCTTGGAAAGGTTCCTTGTCTTTGGATCTTACTTTCCTCATCTGCAAAATGGGGATGTTAATACTTTCCTTGAAGGGCTTTGTGAGATTGCAATAGAATAATGAAGTAGAATGACCAGCTGAGTTCCTGACACTTGGTAAATGGAGATTTTCCTCTGCTTCCCTCATTTGAGGAAGTGAGGTACCAATGGGTGAAAGAATTTTTGCATAGAGAGTTAAAATCAATGCTGGTCCTCAAGTTTCTTAAGTCCCAGGCATAGGCAAAGCGGTCAAGAAGTTTCCATCCACACATGAAAAGATAGTCCACATCATTAGTTTTTAGGGAAATGCAAATCAAAACCACAATGAGATATCACTTTACACACACTAGGATGACTAGAAAAGATATAATAATAACAAGCGTTAATGAAGATGAGGAGAAATTGAAACTTTTTTTTAATCCTAACCTGAGGATAGGTTTATTGATTTTAGAGAGAGTGGAAGGAAGGGAGGGAGAGAAAGATGTGAAAAACACAAATCAGTTGCCTCCTATACGAACCCTGACCAGAGATCAAACTCACAACCCAGGTATGTGCCCTAACCAGAATCAAACCCGCAACATTTTGGTGTAAGGGACAATACTCCAATTAACTGAGCCACTGGCCAGGGCTGAAACTGAAACTTTTGTACACTGCTAGTGGGAATGCAAAATGTTGCAGTCTTTTTGGAAAACAGTTTGATAAGGTTCCTCAAGAAGTTAAACATGTATGACGCAGCAATTCTGCTCCTAGGTATATACCCTAGGAAACTGAAAACACACATCCACATAAAAACTTGTACATGAATGTTCATAGCATTATTATTCATAATAGCCAAAGAGTATAAATAACTCAAATGTCCATCAACTGATGAATGGATAAACAAACGTAACAATGGAATATTAAGCAGCCATAAAAAGGAATAAAGTTCTGATACACACTATATAATGGCCCTTGAAAACACGGTGCTAAGTGAAAGAAGCCAAACACAAAAGGCCACATAACGTATGCTTCCATTAATATGAAATGTCCAGAATAGGCAAATCTGTAGATGTAGAAAGTAGATTATTGGTGGCCAGGGTCTGAGGGGAGGAGGAAAAGAGGAGTGTCTGCTAATTGGTACAGGGTTTCTTTTTGAGGTAACGAAAAATTCTGGAATTAGAGTGGTGATGGCTGCACAACCTTGTGAATATATTAAAAACCACTAAATTGTACACTTTAAATGGGTGAATTTTATGGCATGTGAATTATCTCAATTTTACAAAAAGGGAGGGAGGGAGGAAGGAAGGAAGGCAGTCAGGCAGGCAGGTAGGCAAGCTCTACCCAGGAAACAGCCCTTTGTCAGTGTGGCTTACATGCCACCGGATAGGGTGACCCTGAGCACAGCAGCACCATAAATGAGGGCACCACTCACAGTACTAACCTGCTCCCAGGATAGCCGGAGGTCCCGGTGGCCCTGGAGGTCCTGGTGGCCCAGGAGAACCAGGTCTTCCAAAGCCAGGTGGCCCAGGCAGGCCAGGAACACCAGGGGGTCCCTGGGGCCCAACGACAGTATCCCCTTTCTGACCCTGTCAAGACAAGGGCACAGGAACAGAAGAGAGAAAGCACCATTGTCACTAGAAGTCCCACCTATTCTTTTTAAGAGAACATTTGTAAGAAGTCAATAAATACCAGCTATTGTCATCATTATCCTCAATCTTGGGCACAACTCGAGTGATGGATGCCAGTCCTTATGTTGAATGACACTCCAGAGAACCCCAGAGAGCCCCAAAATCAGATGAGCCCCTAGAGATCATCTAGTCTAGCCTTTGCAGTTCACAGATAAAGCAGCTGAGACCTAGATTAAGGACAGGACTTGACCAAGGCCTCAAAGCAAGTTACCAGCAGAGCTGGAAGTGGAACCCTCATCTCCTGGCTTTGCTGGGTCTGCCCTCACGGCAAGCTCTGGGACCAGGGTTTGCCTGTGGTCAGACTCGTCATACTCTTGTTAGAGGCATAACTTGATTTTCTCTTTTGTGGCCTGGAGGAACTTGTCAGCCTAAGAAGACCAAGCCTATCTAAGAGCTCCCTCTTTGATGAAATATCAAAAGAACCAAATAGCTCCTCTGAATATATCTCCCTCCCCTTCCATTCTGCCTCCCTTGTCTGATGTATTTATTCGCTATTAATAACTCTTCATGTTCAGCGATTTTCCACCATTAACATGAACAAGGCAGCACAGTTAGTGACCTGAAAATTACCTGAATGCATTTGGCCTTAGCCAGCTCCCTTTCCTCTATGGACCTCAGCCAAGCCCCTCTTCAGTCAACAGGAGGCCGACTCCTAGGTCCAGTCTCAAGTTGTGGCTTAGGATTGACCCTCAGCTCCCCAACTGCCCAGTCACATGGGGGGTTTCAGGAAAGTGGGGGTTCAAAAGGAAGGTGACAGGGAGGGGTCACTACTCACAACCAGGCCTGGGCTTCCCGGTCGGCCTGGAGGCCCCGACACAGAGAGCTCGCCTGGACGGCCTCCTCCGTCTCCGTGCTCCCCCTGGAAGCAGAGGGCATTCGAAGAACATTTAGTCAGAAGGATGAAGTGGCCTCTGGCATAAGCTCAGGAACTTGGCAATGCAGGCCTAAGTTTCGAGGGGAAGCACTCACCTTCAAGCTGTTCAGAAAATGTCTCAGGTAAGCTGGGTCCACTGGAGGGCCTGGAGAAGAAATGCTTTATAAAATTCACAATCACAGTCTCAGAAATTTAAACATAAAAGTCTCCACCTCCGCAACCATGATGGCTTCCTCATGGAAGAGACTCTGCGTTGGTTTAACTAACAGAGTGGGCACTGGGCTTGGAGGCAGAGACCAGTCCTGGTCCGAACGTCCACTTGGACACTGGGGTCCTGGCACATCCATGACCCCCTTTGGGGCTGTTTTTCATAGGAAGCCTGAGTAACTGGAACTTCCGTTGTCTCTTGACAATGTCCCATATTGGACACACGTCACCCACGACTAGGTCCCTGTGGAGCTTTCGGTCGGGGTCGTTACATAATTAGTCTCACTTTCTGGCTCAGCCGGATTTCTCAGGGACAACTATCTAAGGCAAGATCTGGCCCAAGGGCTGACATACCTGGTGGTCCCTGGGCCCCCTGGTCGCCTTTTTCTCCCTTTGAGCCGGGAAGACCCCAGGTTCCCTTTTCACCTTTAACACCTGCCACCAAATACACATGCATTAAAAAAAAAGCAGTGGAAAATCACTTGCATCTCATACAAAACATTTTTGAGGTAAGTTTCTCAAACTGAGCTCCTTTAGCAAAATGCACTCGACAAACAACTGCCCACTGAGGGTGGAAAGTCCTTTGCTAACTGATGGGGACAGAAGAGAGAGCGGTAGGCACAGCAGACACATTCCCGACCTTGAATGGCTGGGTCTCGGGGAGACAGACACAGTGAAGGGTAATGGGAGGAGGATGGGACAAGCGGATCGCAAAGATAACAGCAGTGCGTCATGGGAGCTCGGCAGAAGCTGCAGTCAACTCCCACGGCTTCACGCACGTGCCTGCGGCTCCACACCAAGTCAGGCTTGCAGTCCCTGTTCAGCAGGGTGGTGTCAGGGGAGGAGAGGATCTCCCAGGAGTGCCCGCAGAGGAAATGACGGGTGCTAAGTATTCCACTGACAAAGTTGGGAGAATGCCGGCTGTGTGACGCCCCGCTCCCCACAGGGCTTGTGAGAAGCACCCTTTCTGCAGAAGCAGCACCACAGGCAATCCCTTGCCCGCAACTCTTTATAAGGAAGAGAGGCATGAGCTCCTTCTGGGAGTCCAGCATTTAGGAAGAGAAGTGATCCCTCCCTCCACCTCCATGAGTGGTGGACACTAGATCTTTGAATTCCTGCTTCCCAAGAGGTACGAGAGATCAACTGACCAATGCTCTCGAGCCTAGAGATGGGGCACACAGTGTAGATGAAGTCTGGGGCTCAGCTTCCCAGAGCAGGGGAAGGACTGTGTCAGAGGCATGATGCTGCCAGCTTGGGGTCAGTGGGAGAGGCAATCACACCTGGCGAGGCCTCACTGACTGGGGGAGCTGCTGGAGCCAGGATCTGGAGACTGTGCCTCTTGGGGCCTCTACCCGCCCACAGTGAGACCACAGACAGCGGCACTGCCCGAGAAGAGGACAGCGAGCTCACGACTGCCCACGTGGCTGCTCATCCGAGGGAGCTGGAGTAGACCCACAAGTAAATAGGAGGACAACCAGCTCACTAGGGCCTGCATCCAGAAAGGTCTGTTCCTTCCCCCTCTTCCCAGAGGAACCCCATGAGGAAGGGAACCACTGGGGATCTGAGAAAGCAAATCCACATCCACCCCTTCTCCCCAAGGCCCACCTTGCAGCAGGAGGAAGGGAAAGCCTTCAACTGGGTCTGAGCATGGAGTTTGAAAACAGCCTGGACTTTGTAACCAAAGTGACAGAAAAATCATGGGGCCAGATATCACCAGGGAGACCACCACCTGGTAGGCCGGGGTGACAGATCCCAGCCAGAGGTCAGTATTGGAAAGAGAGAAAAAAAGCCTTCCCTTGTTTAAACTGCAAGTGTTCAGACTTCTCAATCAGAAGGGGGACAACAGGGTGTGTGGGGACAGAGGACCAGACTGAGTGCTCACCTGCATGCCCAGTTTCCTGGCCGATCCCACTCTCTGATGTGTGGGCATTTGCTAATCAAATGCTCAGAGCCAGGGCTTCTCATTCTCTACTGTGCATGCAGCTCAGCAGGGAGCTTGTTAAATGCAGCTCGGATTCAGCAGGTATGCGGTGAGGCCCAGGGTTCTGCATTTCTAACAAGCTTCCAGGGGGTGAAGAGGCTGCTGGTCCAAGAACACTTTGCAGCAAAGATCTTCTGAGCTCCCATGACCCTGCCCTGTACTAGCTCTTAGTATACTGCATTATAGTGATTTTGAAAATACTTTCACATAACAGAGCCTAAGGGCCTGGGTGGCAGGAACGGTGGAGGATTCACCTGCCTCAGCCCAGTGTGCGGGACAGCACCAAGCAAGGACAAAGTATCAGTGCATGCTTTATGAACAAACTAACAAACAAATGGAGAAACGGAGTGCTTCCTGCTAACTGGGAGTCTCAGCCAAGATGTGTAGAACAGATAGGTGGGTGACAAAACCAAACAGAAATGCCCAGTCCCACATTCTTTGCTCAGCTGTGAGCCCCCCTCCTAACACATACAGCCAGGTCTTCCTGACTACCTAGTCTAAGCCCGTGGGCAAACAAACCTCCCCAACAGAGACACGAGGGTCTGGGAATATCCCAGAGAAACGTAGGGTGAAGAAGGCAGTGTGTACCGTGAAAGGTGATGAGTTCTGAATTCCCAGGATGAGCGGTACCAACCTGGAGAGAGAAAAAGGCAAGTCATACACTGTAAACCCTGTCCCCATGTTTGCATGCACAGGTAGCCACTGTCCCCTGTCCCAGGGGTGGCTGTGGGGGGCAGGAGGAGCAATGTCATGGAGTCAGGCCTCCTGGCCAAACTCTGCAAAGGGGAAGCACAAAGCTTTAAGATAATAAATGGTGGCAGTGTTGGTTTGGCCAACCATGAGTATTCTTGACCTTTCTTTTATTTAGTTAGTTATTTTTTGCTTTCTTTTTTATTGTTGAACTATTACAGATGTCCCCCATTTCCCTTCTTACCCCCTTCCACCCATCTCCCACCCCTCCCCAGGCCCCCGCCTGTCCATTGTCTGTGTCCAGGGTCTTCATTCACGTGAGAGGTCAAGTATTCAAGCTAGTGATGTGCCCAGCTGCAAAGCTGGGCTGCCATTAGTTTGACTGAGGGTAGTGGTAATTAACAAGGGGAGGGTAGTCATTATGTTGGGAGGGCTATTCTGGACTCCATATTAAGTGCCTGAGGTCTGGAATCCAAGCTGTCCTAGATCATGTCCTCTCCCAGTTTGCTCCCAGATTCCTGCATTTCTTTACCTATTGAAACAGAGCCACCTGCAACCATGCCTTTTAATAATCCACCTTCATCCTTTCCCCAGTTGATATGTGGCGTCAGAAAGATCCCTCTGGAGCCAGGATTCCCCTACACTTTTGGGTGGAGGGTCACAGGCTGCTCAGGGGTCGCTGACAGAAGATAGGGGAGGGGAGGGGAATCTTCCGGGAAAAATGTTTCTGGGTTGAGGCTGAAGGCAGCAGCACCAAGCTGATACCTTGCAGCTCTGCTGACAAAGTCCCTCTACTCCAGGAGTGAGCTGAAAATCATGATGGTTGGAAAGGGGCTGCATTTCGAAAGGGCTTCTGAAATGCTCGAAGTGAAAGGAAGCATTTCTTTTTCAAGTGTCCATTTTGAGAGCTGGTCAAGAAATGTCGATGGCCCAGCCCCCATGGTGTCCAGCAGCATGAAATAAAAAACTCAGCAAACGTGCTCAGCTCTCATCTTTGGCTTCTGTTAAGTAACCAAAGACCATGGTTACTGCAAAGGGTCCTAGTCCAGGTCATGGTCACTGCAGTAGCATTTTTTATAGTACTCTCAAGTGTGTCGAGTGCTATCCCATGATCGGTCCATTAGAAGCCTGGAATCATGTTATCTAGGAGGCCCTCTCGGCACTAACTCACAGCGGGACCTGGAGTAGGCCTTTGCCTCTCTGGGCTGCAGCCTCCCTTTCTGTACCACAGCAGGTGGGATGCAGCCATCACTCTGGGGGGGTCCAGAGTGATATTTTATGTTTCCCTTCAGGTCATCGACATAAACATGACCTGGGTTGCTCTTTTCCTCACGTAGATCTGGGAGCCAGCAGGCCCCCTGGTCACCTTATACAGGGAGGTCCTGTCCTCCGCCTTCTAGGCCAGAGTTCCCAAGTCCTGGGCTGCAGACTTGGGTGCCTCATGGATTAGATATGGACAGTGTCTAGGCAAACACACAGCCAAACTACATCATTTTAGAGCCTCTGACCCAAGCCTCAACACCATCCCAACAGGAATCAATTATGAACCCACTTCAAGGAATCTTTTAAAAAATTAATTAATTTATTTTTAAAAGAACCCTTCTAAATTGTAATTTGTAAGCTCCTGAGAACAGAGGCAACCCCTGTCTAGTTCACTCTGTGTCCCCAGGGCCTAGTGGAGTACTTGGCATTCGGTAAGTACTCAGTTAATATTGTTGAATGAATAAGAGAATGATTATGCACAGTCCCATGACTAATGCTTGTGCACAGGGAGAGGCCCACCTTCCTGGGTTTCCCCACAGAAACAGGATTCTCCTAACGCTGCTGAGACCTCAGGGACGGTGCCACTGACTAGCTGGGTGACCAGTCATGTGCCTGACCCCTCAAGGTCACAATGCCTGTTCCTGCTGCCTGGTGGTCAGGGGACCTAAGTAATAGTCCCAGAACTGTCAGTTCCATGACCTTGGAAAAGTCAGTGAGCTTGTCTGAGTCACAGTTTGCTGCCTCGTTATAAGGAGAGAGAACCCTGCCTCTCAGACTGTGTGCTGTGCGGTAATATAACTGAAAAGGACAGCACATGGTCAGTTAGAGATTTTAGCCCAAAGTTGCCAATGCAAAAATCACTGCTGGAATTGATATTTTTCCCCATCTCTATTTTTAAGATGTCTATTTTCCCTTATTATACTGCTCCAAGCATGAATCTAATATAGTTACGATAATAAAAGACACTGCTTTTTGATTGTGTTTGCACCCTTAGAAGATCCAGCTGTTTCATTGTCACAGTCTGTTATCTAGAAGCTTCTAGTCACTTAAGGGTCTATATGTAAGTGATACAAGACNGCTTTAGAGGACACTCCTTTCCTCTGTTATCTAGAAGCTTCTAGTCACTTAAGGGTCTATATGTAAGTAATACAAGACATCAAAGAGGACACTGATGGATAGAAAAGGCTCAAGACAAANTCTGTTATCTAGAAGCTTCTAGTCACTTAAGGGTCTATATGTAAGTGATACAAGACATCAAAGAGGACACTGATGGATAGAAAAGGCTCAAGACAAAGACTGATCATCTTCTCTGAGTTGCTTTCTATGCCGAAACCTGCTCTTTATGGCAGTGACCATATGCTACTTACCGGTGTCTTGCAGTGTGGCCGGGGCGGTATGGGGAAGACAGCCTGTGGAAATTGAGAACAGACAAGTGAGGCCATCAGGACATCTGACTCAGGCTTACGTCAGTTTGGTGCCCGCTCCCCAATGAAGGTTTCTCCCTGCACTTACTCCTTTGATGTTAATCACAGCTCCAGGTGGGCCAGGGGGGCCTGGAGGACCAGGTAAGCCAGGTGGGCCCTGAAGGAAGAAAGGCCATTCCTGAGTTCAGGATCCTGTCCCCAAGTTTTAGGGACACAACGAGGAAAGGAGTGTCCTCTAAANGGAGGAAAGGAGTGTCCTCTAAAGCCAACTAATTTCTCCCATGAGTTAGCCAGTCCCTTCTACAGAGCACATCTACATATGTGACCTCATTGCATCTTCACAACTACCCATGGGGAAGATAGCAGAGCAACAAGTACTGTCTCTGGTTTACAAATGGAGATAATGAGGCCCAGAGAGGGGAAGAGACCTGCTCAAGCAACTTATGGAAGAACTGAGATTGGAACCCAGATTCTGACTCCAAGAGCAGTGCTCGGCCGATGGTGAGTCCACCACTTTTCTATTAGCACATCTCTAGTATGGAGCGACACATGAGGTGGGGGGTCCTTCATGCTACATGGTACCTCGGAGAGTGGCTCATAAATGCAAAACTCAAGGCAAAACTCTTGCTAGGTAGCAGAGTCATTTTCAAAGCCAGGTCAGCCTGGCCTTAATACCATGCAATGTTTTCTCCTCTAAGCCTGGATCCCAAGCAGGATGTTGCAGCAGGAGGGTGTGGCTCTGGCCGCAGGCATGAGGAGCCCAGCCCATCCTGAAGTTACACTGATATCCTAAGGGAAGGCATCAGTGTCTGCTTCTCCTAGTAGCTCCAGCAGACCTGATGACGGTGAGTTAGTTCCCCAATGCTTCAGTAAAACGGCTTTTCTGGGTTTCTGGACATACGGAGCAGAGGCAGTGTGGTGCAAATAGAAGCAGCAATGGACTTAGAGCTGCACTTGCATCTTAGCTCAGTGACTTTCAGTGAGTCCCTTAACTCATCTAGGCCAGAGTTTCCTTGTGTACAAAACAAGGACCTCACTGAATATCTCTCAGGATAGTTATTATCAAGACTATTGTCCTTAAAAGCACTTTGTACAGTGCTTGACATATAGCAGCTGCTCAATAACATTGGCTTCCTTATTCTAGACCCTGGACCCTGCTGATGCCCCCAGTATCTGCCATCCTGTGAGGCCCCACTTAAGTAGCTGATCTACCTTTGCTAATCACTCACAAGGATTTACTGAGCCCCCAGTGACCCGCAAAATCCCCAAGACTGTGTAATGGAGGGAAGACCGGGTATCACCCAAGTCAGAAGACCTGGGATTTGAAACCAGGTGTCCAGAGTATGCGCACCTGGCAGTCTCCCACCCTCTCTCTGGGGTTCAGACAAGGAAGCTTATGCTCTATTCCACTCAAGTGCTTTGGTGGCAGAAACCCTCCTGAGAGTGAGCTGGAGGACAGAGTTGGGCTGGAGGACATTTGGAAGTGGCAATGGGGGAAGAAGGAAAACATTCCTGAACATCCTGTCCATAAGCCTTGCTCACTGGACCCAGCACTCTCTCACCCATCCTCTGGACACTGGCCTGGGGGCTCTGTCCCCAGGGTGGTGTGGGGCAGGGGCTGTGGCACTCACCGACATCATGATCCCTCTATCTCCTTTGGCGCCCTTGAAGCCATTCAGTCCTGGGCGACCCTGAAACCCACAGAAGACGCCTTAGTAAACCCACTGCCCACAGGCCAGCCTGGCCCACGTGTCCTCTCTCACTTCCAGTCCAAGGAACACCGACACCTACAGGTCGTCCAGGGAGGCCAAATTCTCCTTTGTGTCCTGGTGGTCCTTTGGGCCCCTAGAAGCAAAACAAATATCAACCAGATCAGAAAAGAACAGAAACTCAAGGGCCAAGGAGATGGGGTAGCACCCCCTGCCATTGTGGTGAACCACCAACCGGAGGAAGGAGGGCAAAGAGCAAGTATGAAGTATCCACCTGCCTGGCTCCTTGCCTCCTGGCCTCTCTGTGGTCTGGTGGAACCATTTGCTCAACCCACCCCCAACCCCACCACCTCCTGTAAGCTCTACACTATCCCAGGCTTTGTACCCAACCCTCGCAGACAGTCAGGCTAATGAAGGAACCCAGGTAGCCAGATGCTTAGAACGTGGACATTTGCCCGGGGTCTTATGTCCCAGGGCTCTCCATAGCCCCCACTGGAATAATGCAACCCTGCCTCACCCCTCATGCTAGCCCGTCCCGATAACCTGTTCCAGGATCTGGTGTCTGCCATGTCCCTACCTGTCCCCAAGGAACAGAGTCTTGGTACCCCAGTTCTCCTGGGCCCTTTTTATTCAAGGGCTGGCTTTCTATGTCCACTGCCCTGTTCCAACCTCCTGCAGGAACCCTCTTGCCTCCTGGCATCCAGGATGCATGCAATGCACCACCTCTTTCCAGAACAAGCTCTACCTCCAGGCCATATTTTCCCACTCCTGCAGTCTGCCCTGTCTCCCAGGGGAATGACTGGCTTACATCTGGGGCCCTTCTTCCTTCTGCCATTAACATAGATAGTCATGCCCTGGAAAATGGCAATTAAAGACTCAGTTGAAACAGGCCCTGTGTGTAAAGGACCGAGCCCATGTTACTCTTAGGGAAAGAAAAGCAAGGACAGAAGGAATTAACAGGACACAGGATACCAGATGGCATGTTCTAGTGCAGAGTTCCTCAATCATCAGTGTGCATTGGTGTCACCTGGGATCTTGTCAAACACAGATCCTGTAGGTCCTGGGTGGGGCCTTATTAGAAGCTCTGCATTTCTAACAAGCTCCCAGCTGGTGCTGGTGCTGCTGATTCATGGGCATGAGTAACAGGGCTCTAGTGAGTTTGTAAGGGAAGTATAAGCTACACTAGTCATCAGGGCCACAGCTGGCCCACATGGCACCTTTATGCAAATTAGAAAGTGCCCCCTGAACTGCCTTGCTTGGCAAGCTGTGCACAAGCTGGGCTGTGGTGGCAACAACTTCCATGGTCATCTGCAGCAGACTGTGGCCAGCCCTGCTAACTACTGGTGTTTCCCATGGTATTGGATGTTTAGTTAAGTGGTTAACCAGTAACACAAGACTCTCCCAGTGTGCCTTAGCTCTCAGCTACTCCTCTCCAGGGCATCCATTCTGCCTGATGTAAGGGACGAAAGGCCTCAGAAGGTCCTATAAAAAAATTCACCATGGATGTTATGGGCCATTCATCAAGGACACATGCCTGTTAGAACAATGTGAGTTTCTTTCTCCCCAGGCCTGAGATCCAGCTTTGACCAAACAAACCCTATGTGCAATTCTCCAGCCTAAAAGGTTGCAGAGGAATGAAGGTGCTTATTGGAGGCAGTGGGGTGTGATGGGAAAAATCTGGACAATCAGTCTGACAGGCTGGGTTTAAATCCCTGCTGTGCCACTTATAAGCTGAGTGACAATGGGCAAGTTACCTAATCTCTTTGACCTCAGTTTCCTGGTCTATAAAATGGGGGTTCTGATATTCCTCTCTGAGGGTGGTGAGGATGCAATGAATGAGCTGTGTGAAGTATCAGTACAGAGCCTGACACATAGCGAATGTTCTGCACCTGAACTTTCTTTGTTCTTTGGGGAGAGAAAAAAGGGAAGTTTAGGGTTCATCCTGGGGAGAACTCGTAGCTTAAAAACTGTTCAGCAGCCTAAATGGGTTATAGATTCCTAGAGAAGTAAAGCAATAAGGGCGCTACCATGTTATCTGGTACTAACGCACACCCTCACTTACAGACGGGAAAACAGAAGCCCAGACAGAGAACAGGACTAGGCCTCACAGCAAATGAGCAGCAGATTTACACCCAGAATCCACAAAGCCCAAAAGCTATCTTCTGGGGTTCCTTTGAGGGGTTCCCTGGGCAGTGACAATCTTTAGCTGGCAAGACCTGTGATATAACCATGAGTGTTCACCACTATCCAGTTCTCCTCTCCTTTCTGGTCACACAGCTAAGCCCGACCCACCCCCAGGCATCTGAGTTCTGGCCAGAAGAATGTGCTAGAAGTGATGTTCATTATCTTCCATGATCTATTCCCTCTCCTCAACGTTGGCCTACCAGCTAGAAGATGCCAGCGTGGCCCTGAATCCACAAGATGGCAGAGCCACAGGTTGTAAGCATCCTGGATCCCTGAGTCACTTCTTGGAGGGAACACGCCCAACTAGGAACAACTACAGTGGACTTTATGAGTGAGCACCAAGCTGCTGTTGTGTGAAGCAACTGAGATTTTTATTTAATTGCAGTTAGTCTACTCTAACATGCACATTTTGCCATGTCCTTCTTACTTTCACAACTGGGCCAACTCGGTCTAATTGAGCTAAAGTATGAGAAATGCTTCAAGCCCCAGTCCAGGCCCAGCTGAGAGACGCTCTGGCTTACCATCGGTCCTGGGGCTCCGTGCATTCCAGGTTCACCCTAAAACAGGGAGATACGGACTGGTCACTCAGAAGAACACAGTTTGTGGCAGAAACAGGGATGAGATACCAAAGAGATGCCTTCAGGGTCTGGTGACATAATTACCTTCTCCCCCCTCAGCCTTTCCAGAGGAATGTCCCCCGTCAGGATGGCGCCCGGCTCTCCCTTCTCGCCCTGCAATTCAGAGAACCTTTCAATGAAGTTGGGCTCCTCGCCACCAGAGGCTCACCAAAGACTCTCAGTCCCACTGCCATGATTCCTGTTGCCTTCATCCCACCCCTCCAACCCCACTGCTTGGCTCAGACATGACTTTTGCTACAGTACTGTAATACCCTCCTAAGGGTATTCCATTCTCTGAGCTCTTCCCTCCCTGCACTGTGACAGGCCGGGGTACTGCCAGCCGCTCCAGGGCTCCCACTGCTGACAGATCGGCATCCTCACTCTCTAGGAATCAGCCCCACAAGGTCCTTCCCACCTCTTGCTGCACAGCATCCCCCGGGAACCTCTGGTTCCTAATGTATTTCATGGCTTGCTTTCCTAACAACTCAACTTGAGATCTGTTCCTACCAAGAATCTTTATTCTTGTTAAAAGTCTGAAATTGGGAGAGAGATGAAGGTATAAACACTAGAGGCCTCTCTCAGCAAAGGCCCCTGTGTCTCCATCTGGAACTTTGCCTCCAAACTCCAGGCTCCTGTGCAAACTGGACCAGGCAAAGCTTCTCAGTTGTTGGGAAACAGGGGAGATGGGCCGATGGGTCACAGGGACACAGGATCTTGTCCTCAGCAGAGCCATCGACTAAACCAAAGGCTTCCAAGAAGATACGTGTACCAAGAAAAGGCCAGATAGAGGAACGTTCTATATCACTCTGAGGTTTTGGCCCCAGATTTCCATGCTGGCTCCTGGGGAGCTGAGCGGGACCATGTTCAAGTCTCCCTTCAGTGGGGCCAGAAGCAGCCAAAGCAAGCAGAGCAGCCTCTTCTCTCTGTCCCCCTAAGCCCACACCTGATATTAGGATCTTACCACTCCGCTGGTGAGGAAAGGCAGTCCTGAGCACGCCAGCAGCAGGAAAGCAAGTACAAAAGCATTAGAGGCAGAGCAGGAGAAAGTGAGTTTTCTGTTAGGACTGGAGCAGAGCTGCCTGGGTGCCCAACCCAGTTTTCAAAGTGGCGGGGGGGTTGGGGATGGGAGGGATGCCATGAAGGTCCCTCTATATCCTTCTGACCTCATCACATAGGTAACAGAGTGTTTGAAGCAAGAGCCGCTCTTGCTTGACCAGGCCCCTTCCCAAGCCAGAGCTGCCCTGGATCCATCCCACCTCCATAGGTCCCTGGCAGCAAAAATATCCCAACACATCACCCCTTGTGGTGCCAAACTTAGACCCCTTTGCTCTGCACACTGAACCCTCCACCTCTTGGGATTGTGTCCAACAGACACTGGAGGCTCCTCCTTGGGGCTGGTGTGGAATGGTAGGGGGAAGGAGGAAAGAGAAACCTGATAGTCCCTAACCATCCCTCCTCTTAGAGACACCCCACCCTCCTTGACTCCCCAAGGCAGGCTCAGGGGTTGCTCTCACTGGCTTTGCACAGATTTCCATTACTGCAATGGCCACTTTTCTGTTTGCTTTTTGCATGCCTAGTCCTTTTATCTTATTTCTATATCCCTCGTTCCCAGTACAGGAATCTGACTGGCACACCTTAGGGAATGGATAGAAGATGGATGAGTCCATAAATGGATGGATGAATAAATGCATCCACTCCAGAGTCTTTGTAGTCTGTTTATGGATGTCACTTCTCCCCTTATCTATAAACACCAACTGGGAAGTTAATCCTCTGAGGCACATGTGCAGGGTTCAGAGGTCAGTTCAGTGCTCTGAAAGTTCCCAGGACACGCTCTGCATGCCAAATATTTATCCCAAAGATTCTGCACCAAGACCGCCATTAATTATACATTCTTTGATCCAAAAAAATCTTTTGAGTGCCATTTGTGTACCGGGCTCTGTGCTAAGTACTGGAGCTACAGAAAAGGAACTGGCTGAGTTCTCCCCTTAGGGAATGCACACTCTCATGGGGGTGCCCAACGGGCAGTTAGACAAAGCAGAGCACATGTGGTAACAGCGTTCAAGGGAGTGTTGGTTGAGTTCTTTTGCAAACTCTGATGAAAATCAATTTCTCCACCCACAACCCACCTTCACCCTGGGGAAACCTTGAGATTATGAAAGTTGACAGCTGAAGAGTGATTGCTAATAGATATGGAGTTTCTTTTAGGCAAGATGAAAATGTTCTCAAAGTAGGGAGTGGCGATGGCTGCACAACCATATGAATATACTAAAAAAAAATCAATGAATTTTACAATGTAAAGGGGTGGATTTTATGGCATGTGAATTATACCTCAAATTTAAAAAAAGTTAACAGCTACTTTCAACCAATTTGAAATGTTTAGTAAATTCTAGAGCATGACCCCACCCAGACATCTGGGCCCTTCTTACCTGTTCCCCTTTGAGTCCTGGAAATCCAGGCACACCAGTGTCACCTTTTGGTCCTCTCGGGCCCTAGAAGGAATCATTAAAGGGTATTTTGTTGTTTGTTAAGATTTAGGTGCCTTACCTAAACAGAAGTATTTTTTTTCAAAAATTAGAAGAATAGAGAGTGGAAGGTAGAAGTCACGAAGAATCATATTTTCCTGATTTTAAGTGGTTTAGAAATTGCGGTCTGGTGGAAAGAAGGCAGCGCTGGATGTCAGGAGGCCTAGGGGCCCCATGTCTCTTTGAACTTTGGTTTCCTCCAGTGGGCACTCTGGGAACAGCCTGGTCCTGCCGCCTCTGCCTCTCCCTGGGTCCTCCTGTAGCCTGCCTCTCCCCACTGTTCACTTTCCATGACTGCCACCCCTGCTTTGGCCCCCATCACCTGTGGGATGGTATCCAGACATCCCAGCCAGCCTCGTCACCTGGCCTCCCGCTCCCCACCAACCCCTGGGAGCGAGCCTCACCCCTTACCCTCCCTGCTCTCCCTGCTGCCTTTGCACTTCTGCCCATGCCATTCCTCCTGCATGAATGCCCACCTACCCCTTTGCAGGGCACACTCTGCACACCCCATCAAAGGTAACTTTTTCTCAACGCCATCAGATACTTACTGTCTGTGACAATGACTCACATAGCCAGACAAACACTATTGCTATTTGGCTTCTCACAAGTTCCTGTCTTGTCTTCTGTGTTAAAGGGTGCGACACCCATTAGAGCACTTTCTACACAGAAATGCACTTTCACCTTCTGTGGTGGAAACCCCAGAGGGTGGGGCACACAGACTATTAATTATTGGATGCCTGGTCTATGCTTCCCCTCCCCCAGCCTCACTGCCACCACCCTCTCTCTGTAGGAACTTTATCTACTGTATCTATTTGAAATGCTTGACTTCTCCACTCACATTCACAGGAAGCCAACCACTGGCTGGCCCTTGGGTAGAGAGAGACGAGCAAGACCTAACCCTCCATAAGATGGCCACAGTGCAGTTGAGGAAAAAAGACAAGAACACAAATAACTTACTCGGGGCGAGAAAGGACAACAGCAGAAGTGAAAGTGAAGCTCTATGGGACTGAACGGAGGGAAGGCTCACTCCGGGGGGGTGGGCAATGAGGAAAGGTTACATGAACAAGGTGGCTTTAGAGCTTGGTCATGCAGATGGAGAAGAGCATTCTAGGTGGAAGGAAAAGAAGAGCACAGCTCTGGGGCACAGGGGGAAGGAAGATGCTACTGTGGTACTTACTGGAAACCCTGGCGGCCCAGGCACGCCATCCGGGCCCTGTGACATGACAAAGACAAAGCAGGTGGTTTAGGGGCAGCATTTCCAGAACCAGCAGGAGCACAGCACCTCCGGGCCCAGCACCTTCCAAAGGCTTAAGCAAGTTCCTGCACAGTGGGGCTCATGGTCCATTTTGCAGAAGGATGCTGAGGCCCGGGACCGGGCAGAGTCATGCAGCTGGTCAGTGGCAGAGCCAGGAACTGCACCCAGGAGCCCAGAGGCCCCGCCCTGTAAGTGGCTGCCTCCTCCTTTGTGAAATCACTCAGCATCCGAAATCTCACTTGACTTCCACAAGTACTTGCAGAAAACAGGTTCCTAAGGGTGTTCTGGGATGTTTGGAGGTGGAAGTAGGAGCATGTGGGTGAGACTCAGGTTTTTTCCCTAGGTAGGGGTGAAAATTTTAAAGGATCAGTCATTTTAAAGGCCCTGGGACACAGTGAGCTTGAGGTGCACTCCACATGGTGCCAGGACTCTTCTTCCTGCCAGCCCAGATACCCACATAGCTATTAAAGGCATATGAGTTTGGCAAGATGTATATATATATAGAGAGATAACCGGATGGCAACAAAGTTTATCAATATACTGTATACACAGCAGGTAGAAAAGCATGAGGACAATGGCTGGGAGTTGAGTCCTCCCAGGGAGGGAACTGCCTCTGGGTAGGAAAATCCTGACCCTGCATTAGGGATGAAGGGACCCCCTGAGGGCCCAGATTTGCTGAAGAGGACAGGGGTTGGGGAGGAAGAGGGTTCTAGGGGCGGGGGCATGGCAATGCAGGCAGGCAAGGCCCAGGGCCTCTTCGAATGGAGATGCTGAATCTTCAACTTTAGGCTGTGTTTTGCTTTAGTACCAACCCACTAACACCCTAAACCTCCAATAGTCTGGGAAAACCAAGACCCTCTGTGAACTGACTGTTGCTTGTTAGCTGGTTTGCTTTAGGGTTTGATTATTGGGGTGTTTTGGATGATTTTAGTAGAAATCAAGGAGAGGGGACCCCATTGGATATAGTACAGAGGAGACAGTGCAATGACCTGCCAAAGGAGGTCACTCGGGAGCAGGAGAAACCAGCTGCAGAGGAACCTCCCAGATGTTTGCAGAAGCCCCGGGGAGGGCACCGAATGGTGGGGGTTCAGGCCAGCCTCAATGGGGACTGCAGGACTGGGTGGCCCAGCAGACATCTGGGCTGCACAGCTGTGGAAGTATAAGCCTCAATCTCCATGTCAGCTTTGCCACAGTTCATGCCCACAGCCTCTTATAAACTGCCCCCTAAACTGGTGAGGTGTTATCAGAGAAAGGCTCAGAGGCTCGGAGTAGTGTGTAGCAGAGATGGGACTGGAACCCCAAGGCTCCTATGGCTAGAGCTTCTCCCTCTCTTTCCAGCGGTCATGGGCAGATGCTGGAAGCTGCACTGGAATTCACTGCACAAGCTGCAGGAGGAAACTTCCTTCCCCTGAGGTCCTATTGTGCCATGGACGACTCTGTAGACTTGCAGAAATAGTGTAGCTTCTTTGTGTGTTCCTGATGTCTAAAATGGGGCTAGAAAGACTGAGGCAAGTCACGTTCCCTCCTCACGTGCCAGTTTGCCCATTAGCACAAGAATAGGTCTTTCTAGGCTCTTCCTATTCTGTGAAATGAGGTGGTGTAAATAAAAGCAGGCCAAAAGCACCGCATAGACGTCAACTGGTTCATTACCTACAATCCTCTGATTTCCATTGCACACGTTTCTGATGCATAGAACTGGACAAAACTCCCTGCATAATCAAATTAATGTGATAGCAACTTTTCAGAAATGCAAAGTTCTCTTTCCACTCACTTTACTTTGATATAGTCTAGCTCTACGCTTTAGCAGCTAAAAGGATTGCAAACCAACCCAACCTAACTTCAACAGGGACATCTGGGTAGGAACCTCCCTTCAGGGCCNTATTATCAAGACTATTGTCCTTAAAAGCACTTTGTACAGTGCTTGACATATAGCAGCTGCTCAATAACATTGGCTTCCTTATTCTAGACCCTGGACCCTGCTGATGCCCCCAGTATCTGCCATCCTGTGAGGCCCCACTTAAGTAGCTGATCTACCTTTGCTAATCACTCACAAGGATTTACTGAGCCCCCAGTGACCCGCAAAATCCCCAAGACTGTGTAATGGAGGGAAGACCGGGTATCACCCAAGTCAGAAGACCTGGGATTTGAAACCAGGTGTCCAGAGTATGCGCACCTGGCAGTCTCCCACCCTCTCTCTGGGGTTCAGACAAGGAAGCTTATGCTCTATTCCACTCAAGTGCTTTGGTGGCAGAAACCCTCCTGAGAGTGAGCTGGAGGACAGAGTTGGGCTGGAGGACATTTGGAAGTGGCAATGGGGGAAGAAGGAAAACATTCCTGAACATCCTGTCCATAAGCCTTGCTCACTGGACCCAGCACTCTCTCACCCATCCTCTGGACACTGGCCTGGGGGCTCTGTCCCCAGGGTGATGTGGGGCAGGGGCTGTGGCACTCACCGACATCATGATCCCTCTATCTCCTTTGGCGCCCTTGAAGCCATTCAGTCCTGGGCGACCCTGAAACCCACAGAAGACGCCTTAGTAAACCCACTGCCCACAGGCCAGCCTGGCCCACGTGTCCTCTCTCACTTCCAGTCCAAGGAACACCGACACCTACAGGTCGTCCAGGGAGGCCAAATTCTCCTTTGTGTCCTGGTGGTCCTTTGGGCCCCTAGAAGCAAAACAAATATCAACCAGATCAGAAAAGAACAGAAACTCAAGGGCCAAGGAGATGGGGTAGCACCCCCTGCCATTGTGGTGAACCACCAACCGGAGGAAGGAGGGCAAAGAGCAAGTATGAAGTATCCACCTGCCTGGCTCCTTGCCTCCTGGCCTCTCTGTGGTCTGGTGGAACCATTTGCTCAACCCACCCCCAACCCCACCACCTCCTGTAAGCTCTACACCATCCCAGGCTTTGTACCCAACCCTCGCAGACAGTCAGGCTAATGAAGGAACCCAGGTAGCCAGATGCTTAGAACGTGGACATTTGCCCGGGGTCTTATGTCCCAGGGCTCTCCATAGCCCACTGGAATAATGCAACCCTGCCTCACCCCTCATGCTAGCCTGTCCGGATAACCTGTTCCAGGATCTGGTGTCTGCCATGTCCCTACCTGTCCCCAAGGAACAGAGTCTTGGTACCCCAGTTCTCCTGGGCCCTTTTTATTCAAGGGCTGGCTTTCTATGTCCACTGCCCTGTTCCAACCTCCTGCAGGAACCCTCTTGCCTCCTGGCATCCAGGATGCATGCAATGCACCACCTCTTTCCAGAACAAGCTCTACCTCCAGGCCATATTTTCCCACTCCTGCAGTCTGCCCTGTCTCCCAGGGGAATGACTGGCTTACATCTGGGGCCCTTCTTCCTTCTGCCATTAACATAGATAGTCATGCCCTGGAAAATGGCAATTAAAGACTCAGTTGAAACAGGCCCTGTGTGTAAAGGACCGAGCCCATGTTACTCTTAGGGAAAGAAAAGCAAGGACAGAAGGAATTAACAGGACACAGGATACCAGATGGCATGTTCTAGTGCAGAGTTCCTCAATCATCAGTGTGCATTGGTGTCACCTGGGATCTTGTCAAACACAGATCCTGTAGGTCCTGGGTGGGGCCTTATTAGAAGCTCTGCATTTCTAACAAGCTCCCAGCTGGTGCTGGTGCTGCTGATTCATGGGCATGAGTAACAGGGCTCTAGTGAGTTTGTAAGGGAAGTATAAGCTACACTAGTCATCAGGGCCACAGCTGGCCCACATGGCACCTTTATGCAAATTAGAAAGTGCCCCCTGAACTGCCTTGCTTGGCAAGCTGTGCACAAGCTGGGCTGTGGTGGCAACAACTTCCATGGTCATCTGCAGCAGACTGTGGCCAGCCCTGCTAACTACTGGTGTTTCCCATGGTATTGGATGTTTAGTTAAGTGGTTAACCAGTAACACAAGACTCTCCCAGTGTGCCTTAGCTCTCAGCTACTCCTCTCCAGGGCATCCATTCTGCCTGATGTAAGGGACGAAAGGCCTCAGAAGGTCCTATAAAAAAATTCACCATGGATGTTATGGGCCATTCATCAAGGACACATGCCTGTTAGAACAATGTGAGTTTCTTTCTCCCCAGGCCTGAGATCCAGCTTTGACCAAACAAACCCTATGTGCAATTCTCCAGCCTAAAAGGTTGCAGAGGAATGAAGGTGCTTATTGGAGGCAGTGGGGTGTGATGGGAAAAATCTGGACAATCAGTCTGACAGGCTGGGTTTAAATCCCTGCTGTGCCACTTATAAGCTGAGTGACAATGGGCAAGTTACCTAATCTCTTTGACCTCAGTTTCCTGGTCTATAAAATGGGGGTTCTGATATTCCTCTCTGAGGGTGGTGAGGATGCAATGAATGAGCTGTGTGAAGTATCAGTACAGAGCCTGACACATAGCGAATGTTCTGCACCTGAACTTTCTTTGTTCTTTGGGGAGAGAAAAAAGGGAAGTTTAGGGTTCATCCTGGGGAGAACTCGTAGCTTAAAAACTGTTCAGCAGCCTAAATGGGTTATAGATTCCTAGAGAAGTAAAGCAATAAGGGCGCTACCATGTTATCTGGTACTAACGCACACCCTCACTTACAGACGGGAAAACAGAAGCCCAGACAGAGAACAGGACTAGGCCTCACAGCAAATGAGCAGCAGATTTACACCCAGAATCCACAAAGCCCAAAAGCTATCTTCTGGGGTTCCTTTGAGGGGTTCCCTGGGCAGTGACAATCTTTAGCTGGCAAGACCTGTGATATAACCATGAGTGTTCACCACTATCCAGTTCTCCTCTCCTTTCTGGTCACACAGCTAAGCCCCACCCACCCCCAGGCATCTGAGTTCTGGCCAGAAGAATGTGCTAGAAGTGATGTTCATTATCTTCCATGATCTATTCCCTCTCCTCAACGTTGGCCTACCAGCTAGAAGATGCCAGCGTGGCCCTGAATCCACAAGATGGCAGAGCCACAGGTTGTAAGCATCCTGGATCCCTGAGTCACTTCTTGGAGGGAACACGCCCAACTAGGAACAACTACAGTGGACTTTATGAGTGAGCACCAAGCTGCTGTTGTGTGAAGCAACTGAGATTTTTATTTAATTGCAGTTAGTCTACTCTAACATGCACATTTTGCCATGTCCTTCTTACTTTCACAACTGGGCCAACTCGGTCTAATTGAGCTAAAGTATGAGAAATGCTTCAAGCCCCAGTCCAGGCCCAGCTGAGAGACGCTCTGGCTTACCATCGGTCCTGGGGCTCCGTGCATTCCAGGTTCACCCTAAAACAGGGAGATACGGACTGGTCACTCAGAAGAACACAGTTTGTGGCAGAAACAGGGATGAGATACCAAAGAGATGCCTTCAGGGTCTGGTGACATAATTACCTTCTCCCCCCTCAGCCTTTCCAGAGGAATGTCCCCCGTCAGGATGGCGCCCGGCTCTCCCTTCTCGCCCTGCAATTCAGAGAACCTTTCAATGAAGTTGGGCTCCTCGCCACCAGAGGCTCACCAAAGACTCTCAGTCCCACTGCCATGATTCCTGTTGCCTTCATCCCACCCCTCCAACCCCACTGCTTGGCTCAGACATGACTTTTGCTACAGTACTGTAATACCCTCCTAAGGGTATTCCATTCTCTGAGCTCTTCCCTCCCTGCACTGTGACAGGCCGGGGTACTGCCAGCCGCTCCAGGGCTCCCACTGCTGACAGATCGGCATCCTCACTCTCTAGGAATCAGCCCCACAAGGTCCTTCCCACCTCTTGCTGCACAGCATCCCCCGGGAACCTCTGGTTCCTAATGTATTTCATGGCTTGCTTTCCTAACAACTCAACTTGAGATCTGTTCCTACCAAGAATCTTTATTCTTGTTAAAAGTCTGAAATTGGGAGAGAGATGAAGGTATAAACACTAGAGGCCTCTCTCAGCAAAGGCCCCTGTGTCTCCATCTGGAACTTTGCCTCCAAACTCCAGGCTCCTGTGCAAACTGGACCAGGCAAAGCTTCTCAGTTGTTGGGAAACAGGGGAGATGGGCCGATGGGTCACAGGGACACAGGATCTTGTCCTCAGCAGAGCCATCGACTAAACCAAAGGCTTCCAAGAAGATACGTGTACCAAGAAAAGGCCAGATAGAGGAACGTTCTATATCACTCTGAGGTTTTGGCCCCAGATTTCCATGCTGGCTCCTGGGGAGCTGAGCGGGACCATGTTCAAGTCTCCCTTCAGTGGGGCCAGAAGCAGCCAAAGCAAGCAGAGCAGCCTCTTCTCTCTGTCCCCCTAAGCCCACACCTGATATTAGGATCTTACCACTCCGCTGGTGAGGAAAGGCAGTCCTGAGCACGCCAGCAGCAGGAAAGCAAGTACAAAAGCATTAGAGGCAGAGCAGGAGAAAGTGAGTTTTCTGTTAGGACTGGAGCAGAGCTGCCTGGGTGCCCAACCCAGTTTTCAAAGTGGCGGGGGGGTTGGGGATGGGAGGGATGCCATGAAGGTCCCTCTATATCCTTCTGACCTCATCACATAGGTAACAGAGTGTTTGAAGCAAGAGCCGCTCTTGCTTGACCAGGCCCCTTCCCAAGCCAGAGCTGCCCTGGATCCATCCCACCTCCATAGGTCCCTGGCAGCAAAAATATCCCAACACATCACCCCTTGTGGTGCCAAACTTAGACCCCTTTGCTCTGCACACTGAACCCTCCACCTCTTGGGATTGTGTCCAACAGACACTGGAGGCTCCTCCTTGGGGCTGGTGTGGAATGGTAGGGGGAAGGAGGAAAGAGAAACCTGATAGTCCCTAACCATCCCTCCTCTTAGAGACACCCCACCCTCCTTGACTCCCCAAGGCAGGCTCAGGGGTTGCTCTCACTGGCTTTGCACAGATTTCCATTACTGCAATGGCCACTTTTCTGTTTGCTTTTTGCATGCCTAGTCCTTTTATCTTATTTCTATATCCCTCGTTCCCAGTACAGGAATCTGACTGACACACCTTAGGGAATGGATAGAAGATGGATGAGTCCATAAATGGATGGATGAATAAATGCATCCACTCCAGAGTCTTTGTAGTCTGTTTATGGATGTCACTTCTCCCCTTATCTATAAACACCAACTGGGAAGTTAATCCTCTGAGGCACATGTGCAGGGTTCAGAGGTCAGTTCAGTGCTCTGAAAGTTCCCAGGACACGCTCTGCATGCCAAATATTTATCCCAAAGATTCTGCACCAAGACCGCCATTAATTATACATTCTTTGATCCAAAAAAATCTTTTGAGTGCCATTTGTGTACCGGGCTCTGTGCTAAGTACTGGAGCTACAGAAAAGGAACTGGCTGAGTTCTCCCCTTAGGGAATGCACACTCTCATGGGGGTGCCCAACGGGCAGTTAGACAAAGCAGAGCACATGTGGTAACAGCGTTCAAGGGAGTGTTGGTTGAGTTCTTTTGCAAACTCTGATGAAAATCAATTTCTCCACCCACAACCCACCTTCACCCTGGGGAAACCTTGAGATTATGAAAGTTGACAGCTGAAGAGTGATTGCTAATAGATATGGAGTTTCTTTTAGGCAAGATGAAAATGTTCTCAAAGTAGGGAGTGGCGATGGCTGCACAACCATATGAATATACTAAAAAAAAATCAATGAATTTTACAATGTAAAGGGGTGGATTTTATGGCATGTGAATTATACCTCAAATTTAAAAAAAGTTAACAGCTACTTTCAACCAATTTGAAATGTTTAGTAAATTCTAGAGCATGACCCCACCCAGACATCTGGGCCCTTCTTACCTGTTCCCCTTTGAGTCCTGGAAATCCAGGCACACCAGTGTCACCTTTTGGTCCTCTCGGGCCCTAGAAGGAATCATTAAAGGGTATTTTGTTGTTTGTTAAGATTTAGGTGCCTTACCTAAACAGAAGTATTTTTTTTCAAAAATTAGAAGAATAGAGAGTGGAAGGTAGAAGTCACGAAGAATCATATTTTCCTGATTTTAAGTGGTTTAGAAATTGCGGTCTGGTGGAAAGAAGGCAGCGCTGGATGTCAGGAGGCCTAGGGGCCCCATGTCTCTTTGAACTTTGGTTTCCTCCAGTGGGCACTCTGGGAACAGCCTGGTCCTGCCGCCTCTGCCTCTCCCTGGGTCCTCCTGTAGCCTGCCTCTCCCCACTGTTCACTTTCCATGACTGCCACCCCTGCTTTGGCCCCCATCACCTGTGGGATGGTATCCAGACATCCCAGCCAGCCTCGTCACCTGGCCTCCCGCTCCCCACCAACCCCTGGGAGCGAGCCTCACCCCTTACCCTCCCTGCTCTCCCTGCTGCCTTTGCACTTCTGCCCATGCCATTCCTCCTGCATGAATGCCCACCTACCCCTTTGCAGGGCACACTCTGCACACCCCATCAAAGGTAACTTTTTCTCAACGCCATCAGATACTTACTGTCTGTGACAATGACTCACATAGCCAGACAAACACTATTGCTATTTGGCTTCTCACAAGTTCCTGTCTTGTCTTCTGTGTTAAAGGGTGCGACACCCATTAGAGCACTTTCTACACAGAAATGCACTTTCACCTTCTGTGGTGGAAACCCCAGAGGGTGGGGCACACAGACTATTAATTATTGGATGCCTGGTCTATGCTTCCCCTCCCCCAGCCTCACTGCCACCACCCTCTCTCTGTAGGAACTTTATCTACTGTATCTATTTGAAATGCTTGACTTCTCCACTCACATTCACAGGAAGCCAACCACTGGCTGGCCCTTGGGTAGAGAGAGACGAGCAAGACCTAACCCTCCATAAGATGGCCACAGTGCAGTTGAGGAAAAAAGACAAGAACACAAATAACTTACTCGGGGCGAGAAAGGACAACAGCAGAAGTGAAAGTGAAGCTCTATGGGACTGAACGGAGGGAAGGCTCACTCCGGGGGGGTGGGCAATGAGGAAAGGTTACATGAACAAGGTGGCTTTAGAGCTTGGTCATGCAGATGGAGAAGAGCATTCTAGGTGGAAGGAAAAGAAGAGCACAGCTCTGGGGCACAGGGGGAAGGAAGATGCTACTGTGGTACTTACTGGAAACCCTGGCGGCCCAGGCACGCCATCCGGGCCCTGTGACATGACAAAGACAAAGCAGGTGGTTTAGGGGCAGCATTTCCAGAACCAGCAGGAGCACAGCACCTCCGGGCCCAGCACCTTCCAAAGGCTTAAGCAAGTTCCTGCACAGTGGGGCTCATGGTCCATTTTGCAGAAGGATGCTGAGGCCCGGGACCGGGCAGAGTCATGCAGCTGGTCAGTGGCAGAGCCAGGAACTGCACCCAGGAGCCCAGAGGCCCCGCCCTGTAAGTGGCTGCCTCCTCCTTTGTGAAATCACTCAGCATCCGAAATCTCACTTGACTTCCACAAGTACTTGCAGAAAACAGGTTCCTAAGGGTGTTCTGGGATGTTTGGAGGTGGAAGTAGGAGCATGTGGGTGAGACTCAGGTTTTTTCCCTAGGTAGGGGTGAAAATTTTAAAGGATCAGTCATTTTAAAGGCCCTGGGACACAGTGAGCTTGAGGTGCACTCCACATGGTGCCAGGACTCTTCTTCCTGCCAGCCCAGATACCCACATAGCTATTAAAGGCATATGAGTTTGGCAAGATGTATATATATATAGAGAGATAACCGGATGGCAACAAAGTTTATCAATATACTGTATACACAGCAGGTAGAAAAGCATGAGGACAATGGCTGGGAGTTGAGTCCTCCCAGGGAGGGAACTGCCTCTGGGTAGGAAAATCCTGACCCTGCATTAGGGATGAAGGGACCCCCTGAGGGCCCAGATTTGCTGAAGAGGACAGGGGTTGGGGAGGAAGAGGGTTCTAGGGGCGGGGGCATGGCAATGCAGGCAGGCAAGGCCCAGGGCCTCTTCGAATGGAGATGCTGAATCTTCAACTTTAGGCTGTGTTTTGCTTTAGTACCAACCCACTAACACCCTAAACCTCCAATAGTCTGGGAAAACCAAGACCCTCTGTGAACTGACTGTTGCTTGTTAGCTGGTTTGCTTTAGGGTTTGATTATTGGGGTGTTTTGGATGATTTTAGTAGAAATCAAGGAGAGGGGACCCCATTGGATATAGTACAGAGGAGACAGTGCAATGACCTGCCAAAGGAGGTCACTCGGGAGCAGGAGAAACCAGCTGCAGAGGAACCACCCAGATGTTTGCAGAAGCCCCGGGGAGGGCACCGAATGGTGGGGGTTCAGGCCAGCCTCAATGGGGACTGCAGGACTGGGTGGCCCAGCAGACATCTGGGCTGCACAGCTGTGGAAGTATAAGCCTCAATCTCCATGTCAGCTTTGCCACAGTTCATGCCCACAGCCTCTTATAAACTGCCCCCTAAACTGGTGAGGTGTTATCAGAGAAAGGCTCAGAGGCTCGGAGTAGTGTGTAGCAGAGATGGGACTGGAACCCCAAGGCTCCTATGGCTAGAGCTTCTCCCTCTCTTTCCAGCGGTCATGGGCAGATGCTGGAAGCTGCACTGGAATTCACTGCACAAGCTGCAGGAGGAAACTTCCTTCCCCTGAGGTCCTATTGTGCCATGGACGACTCTGTAGACTTGCAGAAATAGTGTAGCTTCTTTGTGTGTTCCTGATGTCTAAAATGGGGCTAGAAAGACTGAGGCAAGTCACGTTCCCTCCTCACGTGCCAGTTTGCCCATTAGCACAAGAATAGGTCTTTCTAGGCTCTTCCTATTCTGTGAAATGAGGTGGTGTAAATAAAAGCAGGCCAAAAGCACCGCATAGACGTCAACTGGTTCATTACCTACAATCCTCTGATTTCCATTGCACACGTTTCTGATGCATAGAACTGGACAAAACTCCCTGCATAATCAAATTAATGTGATAGCAACTTTTCAGAAATGCAAAGTTCTCTTTCCACTCACTTTACTTTGATATAGTCTAGCTCTACGCTTTAGCAGCTAAAAGGATTGCAAACCAACCCAACCTAACTTCAACAGGGACATCTGGGTAGGAACCTCCCTTCAGGGCCGCTGTGGATACATACCGGAGGCCCAATGAGCTCAGGAATGTCCGAGAGATTCATGGATCCATGGGTGATGTTGATCAAAGACTAAAAAGAGGAAAACCAAACAATGAGACAGAGGGTGGCACATGTTCCACCATGCTCCTGGTAATGAGGCTTTAACTAAAGTCTGCCACCATGGCAGAACCTGGGCAGACTGATGGAGCCCTAAACCCACTGCCAACACACCCATCCCTCCCACTGCTTACAAAACAACTGGGAGCTGCCTTATCACTTTCCTCTTTCAATCATAAAATTGCACAATACATGAATGCCTTCTCTCTTTTAAAATTTAAAA